GTCACGACCATGATACATCTCTGTCCAAGCCTTCTGTAGCTCGTCCTCCAATCGTCGCCGCTCCTGAGCTTCCTCCTTAANAAGTCCTTTGCACCCTCACAAGACCCCAAAAAAGGTATCAACTCATCAGCCTTTTCGCCATTGAATGAATGAACAAGCTGTAGAGCCCCCTTCAGGTCTATCAATCCCCTTTGCAGGTGACCATTACTAGAGCCAGTACCAGGAAGATTATTTACCCCAGCTGCGTCACGACCACGATACATCTCTGCCCAAGCCTTCTGTAGCTCGTCCTCCAATCGTCGCCGCTCCTGAGCTTCCTCCTTAATCCTTTCCTGGGCCCCCTCTATTATTTTCAGCATCTCAGCCACAAGTTGATCTGTCCTACTACCCCTCAGGATCTCCTGGATGTCCATTTTACGAATACCTGAGATATCCAATTCCGATAAATCCGGCTGCCTACGCAGTGGTGGGGTGAAATCACCTAACAGAAGTGATCCCCCCGGCACCGAGAACAGAGTAGACATAGGTGTGCTGAATTCCTCCCTTTGCTCCCTATCATCAGCTGCGGGCAAGCCCTGCTGCTGCGGTGGTGGCGGTGCCGGCCTCACAGGTGTGCCGTTCCCACCCCGCTGCTCTTGCCGCCCATCTTGCCCCTGCTGCCCTTGCGGCTGCTGCCCTTGCGGCTGTAGCGGGTCATCCGCCACGAAGTTTTCCACACTACGCGAACGCCGCCGGACCCCCTCGGCCAAGGAACTGGAAGCACGGTTCCCCCTAGCAAAATTCAAGGCTCTGCGCATCGTGATACCACGACGAGACCCTTCTGATTTTGTTACCTCCGCAGAAGACCCTTCAATTGAGTGTAAATTCACCCCTACTGAACGTAAATTCTGCCTGACACCTCGAGCTAATTCCTCCAGAGAATCAAAGTCATCCCGAACACTCTGACTATGAGACCCCATAAATGAAAAATCGCCTGTTCCATGTCAGCTTCGTTCCGCTTCAAAATAGTCCGAAAAACTTGAAAAAAAATTCCCAACAAACAGGAAATACAAAATGAACCTCTTTACCAGCTGGATTTCACCCCTTCTCCTACGCAAAAGTCGGTTGCTACTAGTCCGGCGCCCCAGAACAGGTTGATGCTTCCCCAAAATGAATACACGTTTCCTCTGACGTATCGAAAATGTCGAATTCTTCTCTTAACCACTGTCTTCGACGAAAGTTGATCAGGCTCCCGTTTCTGAAGAACATACGCGCCGCCACCAAATTGTTGTGTGAGGTAGAATGGACGAGTACAATGGACTCAAACTTCAGTGTTAAGATACTTGAATTTACTTTATTTCTTAGTCAAAGTGTAACGGTAAAAATACAAAAGAATTAAGATTAATTCCCAAATGAACTACATTGGTAATGACTCCCGAGTGCAGTGTGTTCTCGGTTTTTATAAGAAAACCGTGACACACATTTGTCTCTTTTTCGTTGTATTCGTATTACAAAACGATCCCGTGGTGTAATACGATGCTGAATCGGTAAACAATCGATAAACAGTTGATTTCATAATTATTAAAAATGAATCACTTCGTAATTCGGTCATGGAATATTCTGGATTACAACANTGGAATGATTTCTCAGAGACTAAATGAACCTCAAACAAAAATGTATCTCCAGTTCTTAGCAGCAGTTTTACCATTCTTTACTGATTTAAACGTTGAGATGCAATCAACTAAAACGCAGATTCATCATTTACACGAGAGGGTATCAGCAGTGTACAAGAGTTTGCTTGATTGTTTTCTAAAGAAAGAATACTTAGACAAAACTACTATTGAAAAAATCAATTTCCGAGATCCTCACAATCAGTGCTCTATTGAGAACATCTATCTTGGAGGAGAATTAACGATGGAGATCCAGCAAGGAAAGTGCACTTTGGACAGAGCTAGTCTGACCTAGTTCAGAGTGAGATGTTTAAATTTTTACATCGAGGGCTGTGCACAAATTGTAAAACGATTCAATTTTGCTGATCCTCATATTCAAAAACTAAAACAACTTTCAATTCTTAATCCAGTTGCAGTACGATCTGGTGAATGTCCTTCCATCGCACCGCTGGCGTCACTTTTCTGAAATCTTGTCTCCCAGAACCGTATCAATGATATTGACATAGAGTGGCGTGGAGTGAGAAATTGTAAGATACCTGGAAAAACGTCCGAGGTAATTCGTTCTATGGAACTTTGTGATTTTTCGCTTGCAATATAGAACTTGAAGCGTGGTCATAATAGACAAAAATTCCCACTCATCTCTTCGTTCGCAATCGACTTGCTCTGTCTTCCTCATTCGACAGCAGCTGTAAAGAGGATTTTTTCTCAACTTAAATTGAATAAAACAGACCTTCGCAATCGCCTCGAGTCAGAAACTTTGGCGAGGATCATGCATACTAAGTGTCTTCTTAATGGTAAAAGTATCACACAGCTGAACATGACACCAGAACTCATTTCTAAATATACGGCTCTCATGTACGAAACCTCAGACGACAACTCATAAATATCATTCTTCTGACAACTTTTATTATTCTTATCAATGCAGATTATACTGTGTTATTTCTTCATAAGTTTATTCACTCTCAGCATTCAAATAAATAGTTGGGTTTCTTCTATTTCTACTATTATTTTTCCCTTCCATCTCAATTAAAAAATGTTGTACTATGTAATGATTTTTCTTTGGCCTCAGCAAATACTCAATAAACCCANTGGATACTCTAATGGCGACTCTCGCGTGTGTCCGCTCGGGCCTGCTGCGTAGTGGTGGGGAGTCTGGGGAAGACTAGGCCCGTACGGTGCTCACTCGAGTGTTGGGGGCGCGAACTATCGATTCCCGGGGTAATNCCAAAAATCCAATAACGACAAGAAACATATCGCAAACCATACGCAGAAATGTGGATTACGAGGGTACGGGATTTACTCGGCTGCTCAGTGTGCGAGTCGTGGAGAGAGGGGTGGATTCGTGGACGAGAACATCAATTAACAAAGCCAATCATCGATCGAGAAAACCAATAAACCAATGTCTTAAATTCTAAATGGGATAGGTAAGGTCAATCNTGCAGAGGGCACTCTCCGGAGAGGAATTAGGGCTTTACCAACGAAAATTCAGACGCAAACGCAACTTAACTAGTTCAAAAACCCAATACCGATCCGCTTCGACGACTGGGTGATCGTCTCCACGGCCTTCCAACTGAAAGCCCTAACACTCTCGCTCAAGGGAGCGCAAGCATTTCAACTCGACCTATGTGCTCACTCTATCAACAAACCAAAAAGGGTTACAGGAGACGCTGGGTAGCACATTATCTTGGCCAAATATTCGACGGTGATATCCTGATCCTTAACCGAATTTACGCAGGGAAATCTCAAAATTACTAAANAACTCAATCAAAACTGACTCAAAAAAAAAGAAATATCTGCAAAATATCTGATTTATCTAATGAAGTTATTTAATGAATATTAGTCTAAAAATTTCGGGAATCGATTCACGCGATAGGTCACCCATTACAGTAGGTCTCCGAACTTAAGGTAGCTCTGAAGTAGAGTTAAGGTAGCAGGTAGCTCTAATTTTCCGTATAGATTTTTATCGCGAAGAAAAGGTAACGGTTTATAAATTTTTACTCTTTCTCTCGCTCCCTCGCTCTTCCTTTCTATACATAAATACCCTGGAGTTCCGCAGGTGACGAAATCGCCTGGAATTTCGTCACAAACCTAATGAAGAGATCATTACAGATAATGACAAGAAGTCATACACAAAAATTGTTAAATGTTCTCATCTTGATATGGTTTATTACAATCCAGCCAAGGGTTTATGACAAAAGAATAGAGGAAGGATTACAAAATTTATCATGAAATCTCCCACAGGGAAAGGTTACCCAACCAAATGATCGCTAGGAAGAAGCGTCATAGAGATTACGTATACTGGGATGATCCGAATGCGTTAGCGGATCGCCNCTCTCTCTCTCTCTCTCTCTCTCTCTCTCTCTCTCTCTCTCTCTCTCTCTCTCTCTCTCTCTCTCTCTCTCTCTCTCTCTCTCTCTCTCTCATTTCATTTACTTTATAAATACCCTGGAGTGATACAGGTGACGAAAGGGGCTGGAATTTCGTCACAGCCCCCCGCACCTTGACTCTGCCACTCCGGTCTTGTCCTCTGCTGGCGTTGGTTTCGTAGCGTTCAGATGTGTTGTCCTCTGAGAGTTTCTGTGGGTCCATTTCTGCTTCCGCTGAGCTTCCAGGTCCAGGTTGTCTCTGAGGCTGAAAAGTGTCGAACCCACGCCCACAAGAGTCTTTTCCCATAATAAAGAGAACACGAGGAGTACACCTCTCAAGTTCACAGTGTTATTTATTCGCGTTATCATGGAAGAAATACAAAAAGTAAGTAATGTCGAATAACGTCGACACGCGGATTCGAGAAAAATGTAACTTAAGGCGCCATTTGTGACTGTCGCTATGGTTCGGCTCGAATGAATAATAGAAAAGGAAGAAGTGAACGAAAACCCACGGTTTGCGGAAGAGAGAAAAAAAGGAAAAGGAAACGTAACTAGGTTCATCTTGGTCAACATGAACTTGAAAATGGGAAGCTATTCGTGAGAACAAAAAAAAAATAATAACGAGGCCAAATCCGGGTCCTCTGATCAACGAAAACAACTGTGGCTATTGTCGGGTTCTTCTCCATTTTCCCAAAAAAAAAAAAAAAAAANAAAAAAAAAAAAAAAAAAAAAAAAAAACCAAATGAAAACAAAAAAAAGAATGGACATCAAAAGAAAAAAAACTTAACCAAGGGAATCAATTAACCCAAAAAAAAAATACTGTTCGTGGGACCTTTTGTCCGCTTAACGGGTCCGGCCCGCCTGTCAGCCTTGTTCTCGACTAGTATGAAGGTAGCTTTTAGGTAGCCAGTGGATAGCCCTGATAAGGTAATTTAGGTAGCTGGACGGTCTTACGGAGTGGGCCGCTCCTGCCTTAACCTATCGCCTAGCAGTAGCCAGGTGGTGGTGGTTCAGGTCCTCTAGGCGAGTAGTCGCGATCGTAATCCCGATGATCATAGTGGTTGCCTGGAGGTGGGTGCCTGGGTCCCTCTTCACGGTACCCACCACCATGTCCTCTCTGTGGGTAGGCTTGGCCTCTCGGTGGACGATCACCATCGTCCCTCATCGATCTCGGATACTCCCATGGCTCGGTCTCGTACCGAGGGTCCGGCAATCCTCCGCGGCCTCGACGTGGTCCGTCTCTGTTCCTTTCAGAGTCCTCGGGTGATCTACCCCAACCTCGGCCCCTGGCCAAAGGTGGGTAGTCCTCTGAGCGAGGTTGATACCCTGGCTCTCGGTCCGGCTGGAAGCGATGGTATTGGATGGGCGTTCGGCGAGGGCGCTCGTCGAATTCGTCATAACCTCTAGTGAAGTGTCGAGATTCTTGGCATTGGTCATACGAAGGGGGGTAGCAATCCCAACTTTCTTCCCGCCTGGGTGGTGGTGATGGTGGAGGTCCTCCTCTCCCAGTTCTAGAGGTTTTGGCCGGCCTTGGAGGTTTAGCAGCCGGAGGATTTTTACGATGCTTGCCCCGATTCTTGGCTGCTGGGGTTGCTGCATCGGTGTCCTGTCGAGGGGCTTGAGCCTGGAGCTCGTGTCGAGGGACATTTCGACCGAGAGATGGCACGTAGGGACTTGCGGCTCTCCATTTATCGCCACAATGAGGACAGGTCTTCGAGGTAGCTCCTTTGAGGCCGCAGCTAAAGCACACTGTGATGCGTCTCTCCGGACACTGTTGACGGCGATGATTGGGGGAGTCCCAGTTATAGCGGCGAGGCTCAAAATCCCAATCGGTCCTGATGGGTAGATTATCTTGGCGAACCGGCATTGGTCTCACCTCCTCGGTGGGTAGTGCTGTCTCCCCACGATTCTCCTCCTCTGTAGCCCACCATGGGAGGGGGTCCTCAGCGGGATTCTCGACTTCTTCCGGGTCATTTTCAATGATGATGACCTCCGGTTCGCTCCTGGGAGTGTTGCTGGCGGATGTACGAGTTTTGGGAATGGCTCCCTTTGAAGGGGGTGTTGAGGAGGTCTCAGCGGCCGGAGTTGTCCTTTGGGATACGGAATCCGCCTGAATCGCTTCCTGGGGACGTTCACGTGCTGGTGTAGAGGCCATCGGAGTAATGGGTTGACTATTCCTCGTCCCGGCCACTGCGATTTCGGTCGGAGGTGTTGTCCCTTGTAGTCGAGTGAGCCTGACTTGCGCCTGTACCCGCTCGAATGCTCCCGAAGTTTGAGTGGCTGGGGCTGCAGTACGGGATCTGGTTCTAGTCGAGGGTGGTTGTGGTTCCTCGACTTGTTCTCACCAAATTCGGATAACTTCTAGAAGGTCGAACTGCACTGATGGGCCGAGGTCGTGGTGTCATTGGGGCCAGGAGCTTCTGAGCCCTCTTGGCGCCTGTGACCGGGGTTGGAATTTTGGGCAGTGACTCCAGTGAGGTGCCAAGCTTCTGATCCTCTTCGGAGAGGTCTACTTGCAGGACATCCGACTCTGTTCCANATGGTACGCTGGAGTTGTCTTGTGCTCCATTCCGGTCATTTCCGCAAGAGCGCGAATATCACGGTTCACGAATTCAGTCCCATTGTCAGTGAGCAATACTCGAGGGGTTCCCCATCTAGAGATAACTTGGTGTTCAATCACTTCGCGAATCTTTTTACCAGTGGCCGAATGCAAGGGAACAACTTCAATCCACTTGCTAAAAAGATCCTGGATTACGAGAATGTAGCGAAAACCGAATTTGCTAGGGGTTATTGTCCCCATGATATCGGCGGCGATCGTGGTCCAAGGTTCTTCAATGATCCTTCGACCCATCAGTCCTACAGGAGCGGTCTGTTCGACTTTACATTTTTGACAGGTAGCGCAGTGACTGACAAAGGTAGTGATGTCATTTAGCATTGAGGGCCAGTGATATTTGAGAGAAACCCGTCGATAGGTTTTATCGAGAGTGACTTCCTCCGTGCGGGCTACATATTTAGAGACACTTTTATTCTCCTTTTGCTGTATCCTGCTAAATTCTGCCTGAAGCCCAACGAGACTTGTTGTTTTCCCAAAAAGTGATTGTAATTCGTTTCTTAGCTGTTCAAATGATGTGATAGTTCGGTACTTTAATTGCTTCATAGCGGCACCTTCAAGTTTACTTCCCAGAATCCCTTCTAGAAGAGAATCTTGAAGTTCTGGATATATCAATTTCCTAGCGGCCTCCACTGATTTGAAAAAAGCATCTAATTTATCTGCATCATCTCCAGCGAAATTACGTACCATTTGAAGCGCACCCTTCAGATCAAGATGTGCCCTCACTGGCTCTTGGTTGTGCTGGATATTTTGCTCCATCCAGGCATCTGCCAAAAGATTTCTAACCTCATTTCTTTCTTGTTCAGCCTCCTCCCGACGACGCCGCTCAGAATCAAGGAGGCGTTACATTTCCCCCTGTTTATTTCCTATTTCCAGTTCTCCCACTCTCTCGTGCAAACCCACTATTTTCTCCCGCAGCTCGTCGACACGTCGAAGCGGTCGTACCCCGTTGGGATGTTGTCCTGGCCCACGGGGTTCGCCCTCGGGAGGTAGAATGAATCCTCCCGCCGTGAATGTTCCCGCACGATAGAAAACATTACTAGGTGTGGAATATTCATGTCTAGGCGTTCTATCGGTTACCCCCTCCTTCTGAATCTCCTCAATTTTATCGAAGGGATTTCCAGGTACATTGGGAGGATTTCTAGAAGGAGTCCTCTGATTTCCTCCCCCGTTTTCTCGCGTGCTGNATTTCGGTCGGAGGTGTTGTCCCTTGTAGTCGAGTGAGCCTGACTTGCGCCTGTACCCGCTCGAATGCTCCCGAAGTTTGAGTGGCTGGGGCTGCAGTACGGGATCTGGTTCTAGTCGAGGGTGGTTGTGGTTCCTCGACTTGTTCTCACCAAATTCGGATAACTTCTAGAAGGTCGAACTGCACTGATGGGCCGAAGTCGTGGTGTCATTGGGGCCAGGAGCTTCTGAGCCCTCTTGGCGCCTGTGACCGGGGTTGGAATTTTGGGCAGTGACTCCAGTGAGGTGCCAAGCTTCTGATCCTCTTCGGAGAGGTCTACTTGCAGGACATCCGACTCTGTTCCAGATGACGCTGCTCGAGGGGGAGTTTTCCGGATCGCTGCCAGCGTCAAATCGCTCAGTTTCTCCAATGGAATGGAAACTGGAAGTGTGAAGGTAGGTGGAGCTCTCACAATCTCCACTAGGCACGCCCTAGAGTCAACCATTTTAGGGAGCGATTTCAGTTTCGGACCCTCGGGTGTCGTAGTCCGAGGGTCATTGGTGATAACTCGTTGGTTGGGGGGCAGAGTGTTGTTCTCCTCCTTGTCGTCCATCAAGGCACTGGCGTCACTGGAGGCCTGGCTCCGACCACTGAGCGGAGTGTAGGTGCTGCTTAGATTATCGGCGGGTGACACTCGAGCGAGTGAGAGCTTGGCCGATGCTCGTAAAATGGCCATGAGAAGGTCGTGCTTGGTTCCAGGTCGTTCTCGATCGAGAGCGTCCAGTTGGGCCTGGAACGGGGACAATTCCGCCCTAACGAGGTCCATCGGTCCTGGTGACGACGGATTTTCTGACTTCGGAGGGGTCTTCTCGGCATCCTGGAGCTGAGAATCCCCGTCCTTCCCTGTTGGTGTGGCGACAATGGGAGGGGAGACCTCCATTGGTATTTCTAAGGGAGCGGAAATAGTTGCGGAAGGTGTTGGGGCTGTAGTTAGCGGAGTTAGTCTCGAAGGGTCTCTCTTTGATGTTGGTTCCGTGATGTCCATCGCGACGTCAGAACTCTGCGACGCTGTGGCGGCCATCGTTCCCCGAGGGTTCTGGGGTGGTTTATCTTCCTAAAAGTTCACGGTGGCGTTAGAGAGAGTTTTAAACGTGGCTTTGGAAAGCATGAGGGCAAAAGCAACACCAAAATGCATCGGTAGCGGGTGCGATTTTCGTAAGACTACATCTCCGACTTCAAATTCTTGATCTCGGCGACGTAGATTATAATAGTGAGCTTGGCGATTCTGAGCCTCTGTCAACGCATGAGTGAAAACTCGTCGCAATAAATCTAATCGCGACATACGTTGAAGCCATTCCCCGGGATTCCGCGGAACGATCTCAACTTCACCTTCAATTTCGCGGCGCAGAGAGACAGCTGCAGTTGGCTCTCGACCAAAGTTAGCGAAAGCAGGAGTGCTTTGTAGGGAGCTGTGGAGAGCAGTGTTGTATGCGAACCTAAACTCGTGTAAGTGAGCTTCCCACTGCTTTTGATTTTCCCCAGTGAACGCTCGCAGCATCATTTTGATGACTCCCTTGACGCGCTCGACGGGATTCGCTTGCGGATGGTACGCTGGAGTTGTCTTGTGCTCCATTCCGGTCATTTCCGCAAGAGCGCGAATATCACGGTTCACGAATTCAGTCCCATTGTCAGTGAGCAATACTCGAGGGGTTCCCCATCTAGAGATAACTTGGTGTTCAATCACTTCGCGAATCTTTTTACCAGTGGCCGAATGCAAGGGAACAACTTCAATCCACTTGCTAAAAAGATCCTGGATTACGAGAATGTAGCGAAAACCGAATTTGCTAGGGGTTATTGTCCCCATGATATCGGCGGCGATCGTGGTCCAAGGTTCTTCAATGATCCTTCGACCCATCAGTCCTACAGGAGCGGTCTGTTCGACTTTACATTTTTGACAGGTAGCGCAGTGACTGACAAAGGTAGTGATGTCATTTAGCATTGAGGGCCAGTGATATTTGAGAGAAACCCGTCGATAGGTTTTATCGAGAGTGACTTCCTCCGTGCGGGCTACATATTTAGAGACACTTTTATTCTCCTTTTGCTGTATCCTGCTAAATTCTGCCTGAAGCCCAACGAGATTTGTTGTTTTCCCAAAAAGTGATTGTAATTCGTTTCTTAGCTGTTCAAAAGATGTGATAGTTCGGTACTTTAATTGCTTCATAGCGGCACCTTCAAGTTTACTTCCTAGAATCCCTTCTAGAAGAGAATCTTGAAGTTCTGGATATATCAATTTCCTAGCGGCCTCCACTGATTTGAAAAAAGCATCTAATCTATCTGCATCATCTCCAGCGAAATTACGTACCATTTGAAGCGCACCCTTCAGATCAAGATGTGCCCTCACTGGCTCTTGGTTGTGCTGGATATTTTGCTCCGTCCAGGCATCTGCCAAAAGATTTCTAACCTCATTTCTTTCTTGTTCAGCCTCCTCCCGACGACGCCGCTCAGAATCAAGGAGGCGTTACATTTCCCCCTGTTTATTTCCTATTTCCAGTTCTCCCACTCTCTCGTGCAAACCCACTATTTTCTCCCGCAGCTCGTCGACACGTCGAAGCGGTCGTACCCCGTTGGGATGTTGTCCTGGCCCACGGGGTTCGCCCTCGGGAGGTAGAATGAATCCTCCCGCCGTGAATGTTCCCGCACGATAGAAAACATTACTAGGTGTGGAATATTCATGTCTAGGCGTTCTATCGGTTACCCCCTCCTTCTGAATCTCCTCAATTTTATCGAAGGGATTTCCAGGTACATTGGGAGGATTTCTAGAAGGAGTCCTCTGATTTCCTCCCCCGTTTTCTCGCGTGCTGTTAGCCAGTCGCTCCCCAGGTAATTCCTCTGGCAAAGCGTATTCTTCCTGATGGACGTCAACCCTAACCTGTTGCTCATTACCACCGGCTAACATGCTCTGATGCAAGGATCGGGCATATCTCCATTGTACATTACCATTTGCGTTAATATTCCCATCAGAATTAAATAGATATCTTCTTACCCCCTGGGCCGAAATAGAGTAAGACTCGAAATCTGATCCTGATCGTCGATTACCATCTGCTCCAGTAGTTGACATGATTGATTATTTATTCCTTGGCCAAAAATAAAATAATCTTACTTGAGTAGCTACTTATCACGATACTAACCCTTCCTAACAGGTTAGTTCACTGTTGTACTAGCCCCTTTGGTACGATGAAGTACTAAGGTAGGTTTCCTTGGTTCACCACTATGGTAACCTCTTCGTTCTCCCGATGAAAGGTTCACGAAAATATTCGGCTGGTTTACCTTAAAGGTAATCTTCTCGCTCCCTCGATGTGAAGGGTTGTTGCAGCTGCTG